CGTCGTTAACGGTAAACGTTTAGTTAACCGAACGTTAGGGTAGTTTTAAATTTTAGGTAAGTTTAATTGTCAGCTAGTCTTGTCTTTTTTTTTTTTTTTTTTTTTTTTTTTTTTGCTCTTTAGTGATTAATTTATTTTTCAATGATGTCAAAGATATTCTTGCTTCTAGGAGCAATTTTGATGCTAGTAATGATTTTGATGTTAGTGACAATATTGATCTGTGACCTTGATACGAAGCTGGGACTGCTAACTAGAATGAATGAGCTAACTATAGATGTAATGCTGGAAATAGACCTATTTTATATGGTGCCTGCATGTTATCTGAACTTGTAAAATGTATGTTCAGCTCCACTTTTTCAAATGGAAGCTCACTGCTTTAGTTTTATTTAATGATGTGAAACAACAACAACTCACAGGATTAGTCACACATTTATTACTTTATTGACTGATTAAATCATAAAAGAATAAAGAAAGACGTGTTAAGTGCCGTCAAAAAGAAAAATAAATAAAAAAGAGCTGTTCGCGAAATGTAAATGGCCTACGTCAATAAACCATCCACTTGGCCTCCAAATTCCAAAATATTCTAATTAGTAAAGTTGCTTTGGTTTAAAAAGATAAGACAAAATCAAAACCTAAAAGCAAGAATCGAATAGAGAAAGAAAAGCAATGGTTTTTAACAGTCCAGTGGTGGTGAGTGTAGCGAATTTATCAGCAGATTTTTGCCAATTTATAGCTTGCAATCCGGAAAGACTAAGCAGTGATCAAGTTCTGTATCTCCTATTTTGTTACCCTTTTCAACAGCTTCATCGCTTCACACTCTGTCTCTGGACTTTCTTTTGTTTCCCTCTGCCTAATTCATATCTCTCTTTTCCCTCCTCTAGTCTGTTTTAAATATCCAAGAATCAGACCAGATGCTACGTGAATAATCTTTTGTTTTATAACCTTCCCGTATCCGATACTTACTGGCTTGACTAATCTGGATTCGTGTTGTGTATGCTCATTAAAGGGGAAGGCGGATTCGAGTCGGACAGCTTTGCTAAAGGGTGGAGGGATCCCATCAATCCAGTACGCCCCTTGGTAGTTTCTGGAATAATGTTAATATATGCCCACATGTAGTGCTGTGTCTGTAATAATGATCCTTTTTTTTTTCCTTACTGAGGAATATGTCATTTTGATCCTTTTTTCTTGTTATGGGGGAAAGATTTTCTAGATTGGTTATGATATCTAAATTGGTTAAAGATTTAATTTTTGGCTGTTTTTTTGTCAATTAAATGATTAGCTAATGGTTATTGTAGATTTGATGAGTAATTGTGTTGTTGCTTTAATTTGTTAGCGTAAAATTCTTTACACTCTCATTACTCAAAGCATAAACTTTATATGTGAAAGTAGTAGTGGTTTCGGGTAATCTGATCTGAGTAACACTATCACAGAACAAGACTAAACAGCATGTAAAGCATAAAAAAGCACCTAGAATGGCCTAAAACAATACATTATTGAAATAGCTGTGTATTATCTTAACCAAACTCCAGTGTTGCATAACATATGATTTTACTACAATTACTAATTGAATTATCTGGGAATTAAGTCCAGTATATATAGTATCGAATATTGACCTGTTAAAATGATTTATGAGACTGATAAACAGTCTTGAATATGCTCTAAGGAGCGTAATAGTAACCCCTCAACGTCTGTGATGCGTTTGTTTGTTATAGGAACTCCAATTACTCCACAAATTGCTTCATTCAATTTTGTTGGCTGTTCAACCATTTGCTTCATTTTCTGCAGTTCCACATATATATAACAATTTTGTTAGATCAGTGAGTTGATAAGACTGCAGATGCATATGATGAATCATAATTAAGGGAAGGCATCCCGCGTTCACGGAAGGTCCGGGGAAGGGCCACGCTCCAAGGGGTGTGATGTGGACAGTCTACCCTAATTAAGGGCGGATCTAGAGCTCAACATATGGGTTCACGGGTACCCAGTAACTTTTGCTCAGACTCTGTTTATATATTAAAAAGTTCACTAAATATCTATAAATATTTGACCGCAAACCAATTATTATTGTAAATATACTTGAAGTCAATTTTAGGAACCCATAATTCCAAATCCTGAATCAGCCTCTGAACCTAATACAAGTTCTTCCAATTACATACTTGTTTTTGGCAAACCAGTAATATTGAGTGCTATAGTTGTTGATGTTTTATCAATAAGATTCATAAAAAAAAAAAAAAAGGATTCAAAGAAAATAATGGAAATATATTCAAACCTTGTCATCAGAAAATTGGAATTTAAGCTTCTGATTCTGCTTATTTTGTTTCTGTTTTTGGTGATTTCCTATGAAGATGCAAATGGTAGCAGCAGCAACCCCAAAGGAGCAAATAGCACCAATTCCAGTCAAGCTCCAGTTCCATAAGTTCAATCCACCATTGTTCTTTTCAATATCTGCTTCCATGTTTTCCCTTTTCTTGATCACGGTACTACTCTCTTTGTCTACGACCTCAGCTTTATCATCAAACGGCAAAGGACCTGAATCAATTTGAGACACACAAGTCTTGTTACTGAACTTGGGTGAGTCCAATTTCATGTTTTCATATTCTGTTTCCTTCATTTTCTTGAAGAAAACTTGTGACACTTGATCTTGTTCATTTTCCATTGTAGTTGCTTCCTGTTGAGATACAATATACGCAAATAATTAAAGTATGCTCTCTTTAATAATTTAAATTTTTCGATAAGATGATCACATAATTTAACATGATATTAGAACTGACCAGAGGTACTGGAGCCAAATCTCACTACTAGCCAAAAAGCAAAAAAAATATCTTCCACAAATCTGATCAATATTGTGCATTTTTAAAGTTTTTTATGTCTTATTTGCTTACAAGAACGGGATATATATGCATGACATCTTTTGTTTTTGTAAAAAAAATCATGCCAACATTTGAGATGATTTTAGAAGAAAAAGAATCAATCGCAATTTTTTGGCGAAATGATCACACAATTCAACACTCCCAAGTCTGTGTTAGGATCGAAATAATCATGTGTCATGTGGACGTTACCAAACCAAACTTTGAACGACAATAAATCAGACATCACATATATTTAACGTGGATTGATCAATTCACTTACGTCCACAAATGGAGATGAGCAATCCACTGTATAAAAAAGAGTACAAAATATCGAGAGAATAACCTCACAAAGAGGCACACACAAGTGGCAGGCTAACACTTACCTCACAAATTCTCCACTTAAACAAGACTAGCCAAAAGTTGAGAAGGAAGGACTAGCCAAATATGAAAGAATCATATTTTTCTTTTCATAAAAGGTAAAATCAATTATGGTAAATATATTGTCATTTCTTTAAGGAATAAAAAAATCAAATATGATAAAAAAATCAGAACAACAACTAATAGTTCAGAGGTTTGATCTTTTCTAGAAATACTTAGAAGGTAACATGTTTACCTCAAGTGGAACCTTAGTGATAACTTCTTTAATAACCTCATCATCTTCTTGGATATTTTGTATACTTGGATTCAGCTGATTTGGGAGTGTAACAATTAGTTGATTTGGCACTCTAGAGTGCTCTTTTGAGTCAATAAATTGAGAATCATATTTCCTAAAGGAAATATTTTTGCCTCCATAATCATGGATTTCAAGAAGTCCATTATTAGGAAGAATTTCCCACTCAGTTTCAAGATCCATTTTTCACTGAATGAAATTAGCAAGGAGTTGTTACTATTGAATTGGTTTAAATAGTTTGGAATTCCGTGGAGTTCTTATTCTCTTGGCAATTGAAAAGTCAAAGAGAGTGAGCAATGTGGGATTTTATTGAGAGAAGGCACTCAACTCATTATGGATTGGAGGATGTCTTCTTGCTCTTTAGAGAGTGAATGTTGAATTTCTCCTCTTAGTTATGATGGTGATTGAGTCATATAGGTGGAAGCTTATCACTCTTTGAAAAATCAATAGGATGGACCACATATAAGGAGGCTAATCTAAACTAGATATTTCTCTCAATTATTAATTGGATTAATTAATATATAGTCATTCTCATTAGTTCAATAATGTCATTTCGGATAAACTTGAACCATGGTGTGAATTAACTATAGATTTTCTTCATATAAGTGGCGTCTAGTTAACTTGACATACCTTGACTATTCAATTCGATATTTACTACTTGCTTAGATTTGAATTACCTAAGTTTTTCATAATTTTCGGCCACTTTTCAATATCTACTACTTACTTAAATTTGAGTACGCTAGTCTTTCATAATTTTCGCCCACTTCATTAATAGTAGTTAAGCCATACCCTTTAGTACAACTTTAGACTAAACAATGTTCAATAAGTCCATTTATTTCTTCTCTCTTTTAACTAAAGTGATTCTCATCCACGATGTAATTGTAACTCTAATCTCTCTGTCCTCCAAAAAAGAAGTGTACTTGGGTGCTAAGATATTTTATTATTATTATTATTATTGTTGTTGTTGTTGTTCTTATTGTTTGTGTGTAATCAAGCAAACTGTAAGAGGTATTTTTAGAATTCACGTAGTCCTTTTTAATTAAGAGAAGGCAGAAAGAAAGAAAAAAAAAAAGAGGCAAGACTGAAGTTACCACACTCTATAAGTCATTAGATACCACTTAGGCCGGTTTATAGATAAGGAGTTGTAAAGCATGAATTAATATAACATACTATTGTTCATTTAAGACTCTTCCATTTTCTTCAGCAATTGATGTGAATAGTTTTTGTATTCCTATTTTTCTTCTATAGATTTTAATAAATTATGTTAAATTAATTATTGAAACTCTAACTAAGAGATACACTTGCGACATTTCCATGAGTATTATTTATATTAGTAATCGTACCCGTGCGATGCGCGGTCAGTATTAAAAAATATTAATTAAATTAAATTATGATAGGGCTTGTTTGATCCTATTTGATTGTATTGCTTTAATAAAATTCAATTGTCATCTTACTTGTCAATACGATATACCCAATAATGAAATCTCTATTAAATCAAAGGTACTTATATAGTTAGTGAATAACTTTTTTGTTCTATATATTTTTTATTATATTAACCAATATTTAATATTCGCTTTCTTTTTGTCATATATGAGAAGATTTATAATTTATTACTGTTGAAATATTTTTTTTATTTTAAATTTTATTCTATTGTTCTTAATAATATTATCTAAATTTTAATGAACAAAATCTCTGTTAAACTAACGGGACTTATACAGGGAGCGCATTGAATAACTTTTTTGTTATGTATTTTTCTTTATTATATCATCTAATATTTAATATTATTACATTTTTAATAGAAAATTTATTAGCATATTACTTTATTTAATATTTTTGGCTGAAAGTTTTTTAATTTCTTTATTTTTCGTTTTTTATTTTAAAATAATTTTTAAAACTCCAATTTGAAACTATTCCCAAATTTGAATGGTAATTTATTATTTTTTTAATTTCATTTTTTATTTTAAAATTATTTTAAAACTCCAACTTGAAACTACATCCCGATTTGAATGGGTAGTTTTTCTTCTCTTTCTTTCGTTTTTTTATAGCTAATTTTTTTTTTGCTTTTTTATTTTAAGATAATTTATAAACTCCAACTTGAAACTACTCCCACCCAATTTGAATGGGTAGTTATTATTTTATATATTTATTTTTCGTTTTTTTAATTATATTTAATTATAAGATATCTATATTTATTAATTCAAATAAAGTAACCAATTAATATATATATATATATATATGTTAGTTTTTATTTTATTTTATTATTTTCATTTTTTATATATATTTAAATTCAAAAATAATAGCCAATAACTTTTGTTCTATATTTTTCTTTATTATATTAGCCATTGTTTAGTATTCGCTTTCGTTTTGTAATATATGAGAAGATTTACTGATGAAATATTTTTTTGTTTTAAATTTTGTTCTGTTGTTCTTAATAATATTATCTAAATTTTAATGAGCAAAATCTTTGTTAATTTAACGGGACTTATACAGGGAGCTCATTGAATAACTTTTTTGTTATGTATTTTTCTTTATTATATATATGTGGTAGTTTTTTATTTAATTTAATTATTTTCTATTTTTATATATATTTAAATTCAAAAATAATAACCAATAACTAATTATAAACTAAATAACTAATTATGCCATGTGGCATTTTTTTAGGTTGCCACTTGGCTTAAGGAGAGGGCTTTTTCCTTTCCTTTTAATAATATATAGAAGATATATAGATATAGATAATTTTTATTTTAAAATTATTTTAAAACTCCAACTTGAAATTA